TGAGTGGCAGCGCCAGCATCCTCCTACTGCCCTGCCAATGGGCCTGAGCTCTGATCCAGAGGGGCTATCTCCCTGAGAGAGAGGTTAGTTCATATTGAGAACTCATTCATACTCTTTGAGATGAGGCTGCCACGTAGGGCCAGTTGTGGTGGTGGTGGTGGGGAGGCGTTGTGATGTGGAAGCTTTCACACTGGGAATTGAACCAAGGGATTGAAGCGAAGCTCATTGAAAGTTACTGAAAAAACTCCAGAGGGCTTTGGATCAGGCCCTAAAACTGCCAAGCTCATTTCACAGAGCAAGCCTTGATTTTAAGGGTTGCCGCCTCCTCTTTGGTGTTCAGGAAAGTTTTAACTACTTTACCAGTGTGCATGGTGTCATCATTATATGTGAGGGCAAATACGAGGCCAACAAAATTATCTCCTGATGGCACTGCACAGTATATTAGGATTTGTTTATGCTTTTAAGGATTATGGGTCCATTCAATTTTAGTTAGTTTCTCTTGAATTAGTTTCTTTGAGGTGCAGCCTCAGATATTCCTAGAGCCTTCATCATGTTTTTCAGTTTTTATGGACAATATTTTAGGGGGAGGTTGTACAGACTAACCAGCTGAGTCAGCAGATGTGGGAGGTGTAACAAATGCAAGGGTGCGCTCCTCTCCCAGGAGAGCAACTTCATGCATGGTGTTGTGATGGCACCTGAAGCTAGAGTGCATGGAGTAAAAGAGCCGGTGCTACAGCCAGAGGTGAGATCAGGAAGGTCCTGTGAAGTGAGAGATGGAAAAGAAAGGATGCACCATATTAGCCACCTATACACAGAGCCAGCACTGGCCCTGGGGATGGTGTGTGCGTATATGCCAAATTACCACCCACCCCCTCTTTCTTAATGATTAAACACCAGGGTGCCTGGGGAGTGGGAGGAAAGACGGGGTCTGAAGCAGCAAATCTTCATTATACTTACTAGAAGCTGTGCCCAGCTGCAGCTTCTTCTCCCTCCAGGTGGGACAGATGGAATAACGGCATCTCTCTCCACTACTGTGTGGTGGCACGTTCCCATTCTTTTCTTTGAGGTACAATGAACCTGGCCAGCCTCTACCCCACTTCCTCCTCTCTCCATGATGGCCAACCCACCACACATCCTTCTCCAGTGGCTGCAAGTGCAAGGGGATGGGGTGGCTGCAAGTATGGCTGGACAGATTGAGTAGAGAGGCTGAAATCTCAGACAAAAGTGAGACCAATGGACAGGTGTGTGGATCGAAGTTTTGACAATGGGAATAGGGGCAGGCAGACTGCTCAGGCAGTGGGCTGGGCCAGTCAACAGGAGCTAAGGGAACATGGTTCTGAGGTGGCGGGAGGGGACCAGCCCCGGGGTGGAGGGGTTAGACTTTGTGGGGGTGGGAAGCAGAACAAATGGTCAAGCAGGAATGGAAGGCAAGGCGCACAGGTAGCACTGACCATGCAGCTCCTGAGCTAGGTCTCAGGAGGGCTATGAAATCTGGAGAAAAGTCATAACCTCTCCCTCTCATTTCTTACCCTCAGCAGAGGACTTATTCTTGCAGATCCCAGCTCACTACTCTCATGGTCTCCAGCCAGATGGCATCCTGGATGGGGCCCTATAGCACAGCTAAAGAAAGGTAATATTTCAGAAGTTGGAGGAGGGGGCAAGGAAGAGCTGTGATGAATTGATGTTATGATCAGATAACTGGGGTGTGGAAACTGATAAAGCTATTGGATAACATTGAAAACAACAAGGAAATATGTTCTTTTAATTGAGTCCTACTCCTACATTTAACATAGCATCCTGGCAACACAGAGGAGACTTAAGAGATGGAGGGAATAATTGCAGTCCTGAATCTTTGAGCCAAACTGAGCTGTGGGGACTGAGAAAGGGAGCTTACCCTCTACTACTTTGTTTTTCCTATACTAATATTGTCTGTCCCGATGTGGAAGGGGTGGGGGAAGTCCACGTTCTTTCTCCTCCACAGGCAGATACTGATAATACTCTAGGGTGGGTAGGTGGATGTTGCTGAAGAGTGAGTACCATCCATCCTCAAACTGTACAGACTGTGCCAAGGTTCAAATGACCATGGAGTTAGAAAACATCGTTGACTATATGGTTAACGAATCAAGTGGGTCCCTCTTGCCTCCCTCCCCTCCTAAGCCTGGACCTGCTTTGTTGGGGCTCTGGGAGGTTCTGAAAGGACAGCAGCAGTAACAGGAAGCAGATTTTACCATTCCCTGTCTGCTCTTGCTCCTGTAATGTCACAGCTAGGGAGCCAAGCTGCTGTCTACAGGACCAGAAGAGGAAGTTAGGAAATACCCTTACAGAGAAATCCTATAGAAAACTATTAAGTTTCTGTAAGTTCTTTGCACAGTCCTATAAAATGTACTAGAGAATTATAAATATGCTATAGAATTCTACAGATTGGTTAAGAAACCCTATAGAAAGGATCTCTTGTCTGTATTAAATTCTGTTGGTTTTAGAGTAATTTGAAACCTTATTAACTTTCTATAGAACCTTCTTGCCTTTGTCCCTATTAAATTCTATAGACACTTTCCATAAGGATTATAAAATATGGTAATATTGTCCTTAAATCAACTAAAATGGGTTTATAAAGACCAAGTTTAGTCTCCTAGGTCACCAAAAATGGCCTCTGAGCAAACATTTATGGAAGAGCCATACTTTTAAAAGCCAGTTAATAAATAACTAGCAAATAACTTTTACTGATATTTGTTTAAAGCCCATATGCTCCTTCTCTGTGAGTAGACAGAACAGGGATCCTGGCTGGGTGTGCATGGACAGGAGGAATGCCTTCCCCACTGCATCATTCCCCTTACCCTGCAGAAGCCCCTTATCAGATATCTTACAGAGTTTCAGCCCTGCAGCGTGATGGAGCATACCCAGGGAACTGCCACTCTGCTACATCAGCCTGAGGGAATTTAGAGGATAAGTGAACGCTGGCTCCAGGAAGCCATTTCAGGAGCAATGGCTGGTGGAACTGTGGGTCCATCAGGGGCAGGAAAGAGTTATGAGCTCCTACAGCAGTGCAGAGGCATGGGGCCTATGCAGAGATGGCTAGAGATCTGGGGTTCCAGAGAGCTGAACCCCATTCAATGTCCATGATGTGTAAGGGAGAAGCAGAGGCAGCCTTCCCCAAAGGAGTGATCAGATAAAGAATGGTGGAGTGTCCAGTCCTGATGATGAGAGTACCTGTGTGGATACCCCCAGACTACCTGATTTATCTGTCTTTTTGCCTAATGCTCCTGTTGCGGGGGCTCCCACTTCATGGTGGGGGCCTTTGGCTGAGGCTGCTTACAGCCTAGGCATTCCATTGAACATCTCAGAAACCTTTTGTCTAGAATAGAGTGGGGAGACCACAGTCAGCTGGCTGTGATATAGTTGTAATAAACAGCTCTCATGCTGTTAATTAAATGCCTCAACTCTATGGCAGCTATTTTTTCCTTCCCCTACTTAAACCAACCAAGTGGTTTTATTCAATTACCTAAAAGGTTAGTGGGCTCTGGTAGCTTAGAATAGGTCCATTATGGATCTGTATGTTATATTTATCTAACAGATTGGTCACAGATTAAAAACTTTTAATTCATAGGTGTGATATCACTAAAAGCAAGTAATTTGCAGGTATAGTGTTCTCTGTGTGAACGGCAACGTCTACTGAACAAATGCAAGCAAAGATTTTCAAAAGCAGGGGCCTAAAGTTAGCCTCCTCAATCTGTATTTAGGCATCTGGCTAAGTGACTGGCAGGATTTCCAGCAGTGCTCCCAATGAAATCATATATATTTATAAATTAAGACAATGGGAGTTTCTGGGTATCAGAACTTTTGAAAATCTTGCGACTTACAAATGAGTTCTTTAAGGGCCTGGTCCAAAGCCCATTGAAGTCAGTGGAAGTCTTTCCATTGATTTCAATGGTCTCTTGCTCAGGCCCTAACAGTCAAACATTAGGCACCCATTTTTGATATTTGACGGTGCAATTCTCCCTCTCACTTCAGCCCAGGTGTGACTTTAATTTCAATGAAGAGTTGGAGAATCCTAGTAAATACCCTGGAATTCTTTTTATCATTTTGGTTTCTAGGGAACTTTTTGGAGTCTTGTAGGACATTTTTCTTTTAATTAAAACTCACATTTTCCATGCAAAATATAATTTAAGGATGACCCCCCCCCCAAAAAATCATGAACATGTCTTTTTCAGAGTAAATGGATGCCTGTGCAATGCCAACATGAAGGATTCTTGTTTTAAGTCAATCCTCCCCCTGCTTCTAGGTGTACTTGAATTTCTAGGTCTACCCTTGTTTGAATAAAATACAAACATGTGCAAACCAAAATCAATCTTGCAAAACTGTACGCAAGAGGACTGAGAAAACAAGCATTGGCACTGCACAAAAATACACCAAGACTTCAACAGCACTGTACAGACAGCTCCAAGGGCTAGGTGTGTGTCATTACTGCAGCCTGATATGCAGATGTCACTCAGACCACACACATCCCCCTAAACCGGACGGTCAGGTGACTTTGGTGGGCTTGGGAAGAGCCACTGTGAGAGATGCTAAAATAAATATCTCCAGGCAGCACTCTCTAAGTTGCCCTTCCACCCTGTCTCGAGCAGAGCAGGGGTCAATAGGGAGGCAGTTTCTAAGAGCCCCCCATGTAGTTAGCGGTGTCCTCTCTTTGCATCCCTGCAGCTCTCAGACACCAGGGAATGGGGGGTTGATTTTTAACTTGGGGGGTCCAGCTGCGGACAGCTGTTTTGCAGTGGAGTTCTCCCTCTCCCCCCGGTGGCTCGGCCTCTGCCCTTCCTCTCACCTGGGCCCATGCGCGCGAGCGCAGGGCGTGTCTCCCTGCGGGCTCCTCTTTGGGAACCCTCCCGCCCCTAGTCAGTCGGGGGGCGGCAGGCAGAGCGGCCGGCGCGCTGCAGGGACCGCAGGCGGGCAAAGCGCTCCAGCCGCCGCCGGGAGTTGGGCGAGTTCTCTCCCCCAGCAGCACCATGGACAGCAGCCCCCTGGAGCAACTGGACGCCGCCGGCTTCCTGCACGTCTGGCAGCGCTTCGACGCCGACGGTGCGGCAGGTTTGCTCGCGCGGGAAGGGAGCGAGCCGGGCGCCGCTGGCTTGGGGGCGCGGAGTGTCGGGCGAGGCGAGGGGTCCCGGGACTGGGAGGACGGGTCCCTGTGGCTGGGCGTGGGGTATCTTTCGGCACCTGGGCTGCAGGTGGCTGTGTATGCGGGAATCCCCCTGTGATGTAGCTGGGGCGTGGTGCCCCTGAGTGCGGCCCTAGGTGTGCATGCCCTGTGCCTGTGTGATGCACGTGAGTGTGGTGCCAGAGTCTGAGTAACATGTGGCTGGGGCTTCATATATGTCTGAGACTTACCACGTACTTCTGTGTTTGCCAGCTGTGGCAGATGTTGCCTGCGCCCCGGATAGCCCGCAAGCAGGCTGATAGCGTTAACACCGTGCAGCAAAAATCAGGACAAATGTTCTCTTTGCGCACCAACAATGTTTTTTTTTTTTTAAATGAGCATCCACCAGCACTGAGTAGCTGAATCAGTCCTTCCAGGAAATCCTGAATTTCACAGGGTTGACCTTATATACATAAGGGAAATTTTTTTTTTAACAATAAATATACCTTGCAGAGAATGCACTCAGAGCACAAAATATTTGTCTACTCTGTTACTGCTACTGCTTCTTTTTTCCTTTTGGCCAAGACCTTTACAATATAATAAAGAAAAATTAAAAATATTAAAATGCTAAGAATTTGAATTAAATCTAACAACTTCCAACTTTAAGTGATGTGCCATAAGATAGGAAGGATGAATAGACTTATTTAGGAATAAAGAGAACATTCCTCCAACTTGGCACAGTTTCTATAAACATAAAAATGGTTCTATAGTACGTAAGTTGTGCTTAGAGTTAGAGCAATAATTATGTCTGTTCAATCATGTATGTTTTAATTGTATTTAGACAATGGTTACATAGAGGGGAAGGAGCTTGATAATTTTTTTCATCATCTACTGAAGAAACTGGGCACATCTGTAAGTACTTACCAAATTCCATGCATGTGAAGACAATTACGTTTAAAAAGGTTTTGTATTCTTTGCTCTGTGACTACTAGTTTCCTTAGTGAGACCAAAGATAAAGGGTTTTATTTTCTCCTAGCAACAACAGGTGCTAGGAGAAACAGGTGCAATAACTCTACCAGTATTAGAGCTGTTTATTTTCAGTCCAACATCTGTTACTCACTCTAAGGTTATAATTTTGGCACAAACCAAATCTCCTCTTTGAAAGCTTGGAGGAAAATCCATTTAGATGAATAAAAATGGAACTGAAATTCTTTAATACAGAATAATTTAGTCTTGGAGGGGAAAGTAGCAAGTATTTATGCTTGATTCAAAACAATGCTGATTTGTTAATATGATCATTGATTTTGGAAATAAAATTACCAAAGAACTCTTCCTGCATTAATTTTAACCAGTGCTTATGAAGAGTTATGCCTTCATTCTTAAAAGTGGCTAAAGGATAAACATATGAGTCAAACATATTGCTCATAAGATCAAGACTTGTGTATCAAGACTTTGTTTGGGTTGGGTTGGTTTGGGGTGTTTTTTAGCTCTATTTCATACTATTTATCAGTGCTTCTCATCTTATGCTGTTCACAAATCAAAATGTACAAAAAGTTTTATGCTAAAATCTCCCTTTCCCCCTTATCTTCAGTTCATACTTTGCCTTTGAATGTCACTATATGCCAGAGAGAACTACTGCCACTGAATAAGTGTGTCCTAGAATTTGCACAAAGATTACATTAAAAAAAGTATGTTTTCACTACAGGGTCAAATACAAGAAAAAAAAAGTCAGCATCTCTTTAAATAGAAGAAATGGACACAAAGCAAATAAATGTGATGTGAAACAACTCCATTAAATAAAAACAGATAATAAGACAGGAAAAACAGGCTAGTTAAATCTGAACAGATTTCTGACTACAACGTGCAAAATTAAGAATGGGGGTCTTACATACTCCAATTTGTAATTATTCTAAACAAAAAAGAACTGTTGTTTCATTTGCAAAAAGAATCGTTTTATTATGAAATATTGCTGGCATGTATAGAAAAGTCTATTTAGAATTTAGCTATAAATTGCATAAAGACAGAGAGGATTCAGAGATGAGGAATGAGAATGATTATGGATATAGAAAAATTCATATGAAGAGAGGTTGAAAAGACTGTGATTATTAATTTTAAAAAGGAGATAAAGTTGGAAGCTTCCATTCTCCCTGCTTCATAACATAAGATAAAAAGGCACTGAATTAAACTGAAAGGTGTCGTATTCAAAACTGATAAAAGTGTTATTTCACACAATGCAGATTGTGACTAGAACTCATTGCCATAGGATGTTATCAAGACCAAGAACCTAGCAATATTCAAAGAGGGATCAACATTTATATAGATAAGACTATCTAGATTTATAACAACGCTAAAGAAAGTATTGGAAGGGATATGAGACTTCAAGCTTTGGGGTTTAAGCCAACCTTTAATTATGAGGTGTTAGGAGAAGAATTTCATAGTGCAGATTATCTGATGTTTGCCTGCTGTGGGGTTTCTTGCACTGTCTTCTGAAGTGTCTGGTGCTGGCCACTGTAGTACTGGACTAGATGGGCCATGAGACTTCTGCAGTACAGCAAGTCCTATGTTCCCATGATCACACACAGAGGTCTATGTGAAGTCTGTTTCATGACATGAAATAGGGCATTACATACCAAAACAGTAGTGCACAGAAACCAGTGTGTACAGGGTTCATAATGGAACATATTTTTCCCTTTGTTAAACAGGGTATATAATGACAACTCTCATCATTGCCAAAAGTTATATGTTCAAATGATTTAATTTAAATCAGTCTTCTTTTCCTTTCTGCATCTCTCATTTTCTATATCTACTGTTGCTATTATAAGAAAAAGTTTCACATAAATTAAAACCCTCTGAATTAAATTTAAGGAACAGATTCTGCCACACTTACTCATATGGAGAGTAGTATCTTGCTTTGCAAAGGATTCTCAGTGAAATCAGTGGGAGCGGTAAGGTGCTACTTAACAGCGAGGGAGCCAGTATATGGTCCTTAAACAATATGATCATGCGTTGCCTTGCATCCCTTCCCCTGGTATCCACAATTCAAGAAGGATGTTGATAAATTGGAGAAACTTCAGAGAAGAGCCACAAGAATGACTAAAGGATTAGAAAACATGCCTTATTCTGATAGACTCAAGGAGCTCAATCTATTTAGCGTAACAAAGAGAAGTGTAAGGGGTGACTTGATTACAATCTATAAGAACCTACATGGAGAGCAAATATTTAATAACAGGCTTGTCCATCTAGCAGAGAAAAATATAACACAATCCAGTAGCTGGAAGTTGAAGCTAGACAAATTCAGACTGGAAATTAGGTGTAAATTTTTAATAGTGAGAGTAGTTTGGAACAATTTACCTAAGGTCACAGTAGATTCTCCGTCCCTGACAATTTTTAAACCAACATTGAACGTTTATCTAAAACAGTGGTTTTCAAACTGCAGGTCGTAAGGCGCTGAGTCACGGCGGCTCTGGTCAGCACCACCGACTGGGCCATTAAAAGTCCCGTCGGCGGTGCTGCCCAGCTAAGGCAGGCTAGTCCCAACCTGTTCTGACACCACGCTGAGCCCTGAAAGCGGCCAGCAGCAGGTCGGGGGGCCATGGGGCTCTGCACACTGGCCCCGCCCCGAACACTGGCTCCACACTCCCATTGGCTGGGAACTGGCCAATAGGAGCTGAGGGGAGTGGTATCCCTGTGTGTGAGACACACGTGGAGCCACTTGCGTGCCTCTGCCTAGAAGCCGGACCTGCTGCTGGGCTCTTCCGAGGTGCAGCGTGGCCTGCAGTGCCAGGACAGGGAGGAAGCCTGCCTTAGCACCCCTGCCTTGCTGCTGACTGGGAGCCTCCCGAGATAAGCCCGTGCCTCAACCCCATGCCCCAATCCCCTATCCCAACTTTGAGCCCCCCCAAACCCGGAGCCCCTTTCTGGATCCCAAACCCCTCATCTCTGGCCCCACCCCAGAGCTTGCACCCCCACCTGGAGCCCCTCCCGCACCCCAATCCCCTGCCCCAGCCCAGAGCTCCCTCCCACACCCTGACCCCATCATTCCTGGCCCCACCTCACAGCCCTCACCTCTGTACCCCAACCCTCTGCCCCAGCCCTGAGCCCCTCCCACAGCCCAAACCCCTCATCCCCAGCTCCATTGGGTCACAGGCATCAACAATTTTCTTCAACTGGGTCGCCAGAAAAAAAGTTTGAAAACCACTGTTCTAAAAGATATGCTCCAGGAATCATTTTGGAGAAGTTCTATGGTCTGTGTTATAATCTGACCTCCTGTGTATGATCACAATGGTCCCTTCTGGCCTTGCAATCTATGGGTCTATTTTCAATTCTCATTGTTTAACTAATGGCAAAGTTATCTCAAATCCATAGGGCAGTAGTCAGCCTCAGCATTCTGCTTTCCCTGCATGGGTGGATCTCCCATTGAGGCTACTGAGAAATACTGAGGCTGAGTAAGTCTGAGAGTAGAATTTTGTGCTTTGATTGGAAGCTCCTCGGGGAACGGCCTTTTTTTTATTTGTCTCTTAAGCATCATGAGCATCGTAGCACTATATATGAATGACTTATTTTTGTATAATTATCATATAACATTACGTTTACCCACCATTTTTCTTTCTGTACACATCACCTATTCCGTACATGTCTCCTACTGATATGTGAAGAACCCCTTCCCACAGTGGAAAAAGTCAAGGGCCCCCCTGGAACTATTTTTCATTACCCTAAAGAAACACATTGCCTACTGATATCAGCACAGGGATGGGAGCTAGGATCTCTGCATTTTAATCCTAGTTTTGACACTGATTCCTTTTATGGGCACTTAACCTCTATGCCTCTTCTACCCTCTGCTACAGAGAGACAATAACACTTAATGACATACCTTGCAGACGCATTACAAGGATTAATTAGTTACTATTTCCAAAGTGCTATACAAGTGATAAATAACATTATCAGCTCTCGAAGTTGTCTCTGCTTGAATAGTGAACAGTTTCATAATTATATTTTTTCAACCTCCGCTCTCTAAGCTATTATTTTCCCCTAATGACCACTGTAATCTGTAACTCTGTTATTTTTCCCAGCTTCTCTGCTACATCTTTGTCTGACATTAAATGCAAGCGCATCAAAGCAGCTGGGGAAACAATTAAAGACAGAGTCTATGAGCCACTTGAGAATCAGATTTGTGGATTACGAGCACTGGGCAAGAAAGAGGATTCAGAATGTGTCACTAGTGAAGATGGGTCCAAACCAAAGTCTTGAATCTAAATATCTTTGAACTTTTGGGGGTGTTTTGAAGCAAAGGAAGATCTGAATTTTGCAAAGCCCCTCTAACTTTATAATGGGCCAAACCAAATCCCAGATCCAACCCCCCTTTCCTTATCTAACTATGAAAAGCTATCAGGTCATACAATTCTACCATAACTCCTTTGATTTGCAAGTAGATGTAGATTAATGGGCCACTTCACCTTGAATGGTCCCTTGAAATCTGTTACCTACTTATGCTAAACAATCTGTTCAAACCTTGTATTTAGCAGTGACACGTCAAGTTAGTTTCCCAGACCAGAAGAAGAACTCTGTGTAAGCTCAAAAGCTTGTCTCTCTTGCCAACAGTATTTGGTCCTGTAACAGATATTACCTCACTCACCTCATCTCTCTAATACATATGCAAAAGGTTTTAGTAAATTGATGGAGTTATGGTAGGATTCTGTAGTCTAATTACCAGTCTATACTGATGGGCTAAGGACTAGATCCACAAAGGGACTTAGGCATTGCAATGCTCAGTGTTGCAGTGCCTAACTTTTAGGCACCTTGCTGCACCCAGTGGAATCCACAGCCTCTGAGTTAGGTGCCTACGTGCCCAGTGCATGGAAGAAAGAGTTAGCTGTCAAAGAATGGGATCCACAAAAGACCATCCTACTGAGGCC